TTCCATTAGAACAAACTATTAGGATTAATAATAACTACCACTTCAAAATGTAGTGAAATGTAATGGGGAATTAAAAACAATCTTTAAATACAATCTGACTGTAGATGCTTCAGCCATCTGCAGGACAGAGAGCTCATTTTTAAGGAATACATTTGGTTGGGCCTTTGTAGATAAGGAAAGTGAGGATGCCTGGAAATAGCTTGGATTAGTGAGGGAAAGAAAAAGGTAGAGCTGATTTGATTTGATCTATAAAGGAGCAAGAATTTTGATCTTAACAAAGAGCCTGGGAGAGAAGAGAGAGAAGGAAGATCAGGTGGTGACAAACAATTCACCATGAGTCCCTCCAGCCTGCCTAATGAGGAATTTCCCGGGAGATGGCCAAGGATTGCTAAAACACAGAGGTTAATTTAATTTTGGTCTGTAAGGTGGTATCAGGATTTTGTTAGCTCACCAAATTATTTGTCAAATGGTCCCTCCTCCTGTATTTTCTGTAGGAGTTTGAGTAAGATTAGCATTATTTATTTGTTATGTTTGATAGATTGATGCTGAGCAAGGACCTTCACCCTAACCCTTTTTTTGAAGTCCTCCTAAACTCCAAGCAGGGAAATAAAGGAAAATTGCAAAGTTTTTTAAAAGAGACATTCCAGACATCTAGCTAGCCCCAGAGGTAATTAAGTAACTTGCTAAACAAGAAAGTAATAGTAGCCTTAACAATAGCCAAGGGAGGTAAAGCTCCAGACATATTTGCTTTTCCTACAGAAACTAAAAACAACATCTGAACAGACCCCCACTGAGGATCCCCACCTAACAGATCTGCTAGTACACAGAGCCCAGATTTAGGAAGAGAAGACTAAACTTTCACTATTGCTCTCTCTGTTCTAAGTTTTTCCTCAGAGGCTTAAAGAAAGTCACTCTCCTGTGTTGACATTTTTTCTACTAACCCCAAAATTTTTAAACAGAAAATTCTGTTTCCTCAACCAACTGCAAACCAATTGTTTCTGTTTTGATTTTTTTGTAGAAAGATATTTAATTATTATAAATTCTTTTGCTATCAATATTTTTGATTTTTTTCTATTAATCTTTTAATTTCTGTTGAATCTGTAGTTATGTCACTTCTTTCTTTAATGAATTGATAAGTTGCATTGTTTCTTCTTTTTTGGATCAACCTTTACTACATGCTTATTAGTTTATTAATCTTTTCAAAGAAACAACTATGGGATGTTAGTCAAATTGCTCTTCTTAAGATTTATGTCTATCATTGATTTTAACTTTTCGTTTTTTTCTAATAAGCAACTTCTAAATCTACGTTTCTTCCTCTAAACACTGATAAGAATTCATCCACAAAGAAGAGTGTTTTTTCTATTTTTCAATTTTCCTTAAATTTCTTCTTTCTTTGATTTGTGAATTATTAACAATTATAAATTACTCTTGTATTTGTGGTGGGAGAATATTATCTGTATTATTTCAGTCATTCAATATTTATTGAGACTTGCTTATGGCCCAGAATACCATCTTGATCCTTGTTCATATGCACAGAATAGAAAATACATATCTTGTAATTTTAAGGTATTATCCTCTATATGACAGACAAGTTGTTTGATAGTGTTGTTCAAATATTTTATTTGTACTGAATTGTGTCTACTTTTTCTCTCAATAAGCAAGAAAGGGGTATTAAACTCCCCTGTCATTAATGGATTTTTCAATTTCCCCCTTTAATATTGGCAATTTTTACCTCATGTATTCTAAAATTCAGTTATTTTGCATAGTTTTGGAATTATTTTGTCTGTTAATACATTGACCGCTATCATTATAAAACATCTCTGTCTATCTCTATTCATACTCTTTATTTGAACTCTACTTTTTTTCTGACATTAATATGACTACAGAGGTTTTCTTCTGATTATTGTTTACCTAATATCTTTTTAAATTTAAATATATGTATGTATTTATATTTAATGTGTATTTCATATAAATAACATCAACTATTGTCATTTAAAAAATCCATTGTTCTAATCTCTGTCTTTAACTAGAGTGCTTAGTCTATTTACATTTCATATAATCTTTGACATGGCTGTGTTTTAATCTACCATATCATTATTTATTTTTTATTTGTACCATCTGCTTTTATTTCTTACTGTTTGCATTATTTTTATTCAGTTAGTTAATTAGTTGGGGCTAGTTATATTCGTTACTCTATGGGAGTGATCCTCAAGCTTTTGGCTCAGTACCTTTCTATACTCTTAAATGTTAATGAGTATCCTAAACAGCTTTGCTTAAGGGATTACATCTATCGGGTATTTATATATTACTAGAAATTAAATGATCTTTTAAAAAGAGTGTGCAAATTGTCAGCCTCTGCCCAGCATTGTAAGAATCCTGCTTCAGGCTCTCTGCCCATGAGCCAGCTCACTATCTTTCAGGTGAGACAGGATCGCTGTCACTCCATGAATACAAATCTCTGTCAGCAAAAGAACACCTTAGCATACAAAATGTACTATTCATAGGCCATGTCTGTCATTGGAATAACACCCAAATCCATAGAGATGTTGTGGAAATCACTCTGGATCCCATTTCTAAAGAAAGATTCACTATCCCAGAATGTATATTTTGGACCAAATTGAGTATAGGAGGCTTTCATTAATCTATCTGAGTGGGTACTTCCAAGAGGCACACTGCATGAACTAGCAGGAGATGGAGAATCTAGAAAGTTAGTATATAAACAAGCTCATATGGACAAGGATTTCTACACAATGAACCAGCCTGGAAAAGTGGCTGGTATTTGTGTTTGTCAAGGGTCTTTAACTTTGCTCTATTTTCCAAAATAGATTTCCCACAGACTGGAATTGAGGCTAAACTGTGGCTAACAAGGGAGATGTTATCAGTCTTTGAGGCAGTAAATAGGAGACCAACAGAAAATTCCTAGGATGCTCCTTTGAGTCATCTATCTTTTTAATGACCTATAATACTTGGTTGACTGCTTAATGGCATTTAAATAGGTACAAAAATGAGTAACCAGGATTACTATGTCCATGTTTTCAACCTGTGCCTAAAGAATGAGATAAAACTTTAGAGACATGCACATGGATATTAGAAAAGTAGCGTTGCCATGTGGCTCACAAAAATAACCTTGAGCAGCAGTGGGAAATCAGAGTTACATGAAAAAAATGACTGCGGATACTTACTTATTTGTTCTATCACTTCACAGATTTGTTTCAAAGCTTACCTGAGTTCACCACACACATGTCATGTGTATAATAAACATTGACTACTATTATTATTGGCAAAGCTGATCTTTTATTATTTTTCACAGATTCCATGGAGCCAAATGATTTGCCTCAGATTTCACATTTAATAAGTGCTAAAGAAAAGATTTGGACTAAAGACTTATGATTCAAAATTCGGCCTTCTTTCAAAATACTGTGAAGCCAATTTCATAGGGCAAATTCTCTGTCTAATTTACTCCAAATTAGTGTATATAGAAGAAAAAAATAATTTCTACCAAGTGAAATAAAAAATATGATTAAAATGACCATTCAAATAGCAAGATACAAAATGCAATGGGTTGAAAATGTTGTGCTTAACGTATTATTTGTAATTATTTTATTCATAAGATTTGCATTTGAAAATTATTTACCTTATAATCTGCATTTATAGAATGTAACTGGGCATTAATTTAAGTACTTTTTTATGTCTTAGAAATTAGTGTTGCACTACAATCGCAGTATAATTATCTAAGTTAGATGTGAGTCCAACATATGATCCCAATATTGGAAACGTTATTTCTGGTTCCTGGAATACATTTGCTAATGTGAGAAAATGGTGACTAGTTCTAATTGCAGTTATTAGAGTGGAGAAAAAAAGAGAGAACTCACTCCCCAAGTTGGGAGGCTCTGGAAATCCTTCCAGGGGTTTTTGCTGCTTGGTTGAATCAATCATGTTTTGTTACCACAAGGACTTCAATGGAACTTCAACAATTCTAAAAGCATCCTTGCTGCTCAAGACACATTTCCTAAAATCTAAGCCACAAGTACGTTACTTAGAAAATCTGAGACTGTTATAAAACAGTAGAATAAGTTAGCATAAATATATTTGATAATGAGAAGTTTTAAAATACGACAGCTTTTTTATACTTTTTGTAATCATACTGTTAAACTTCTTCTCTATAGTGAAAATTGTGCTGGTTCACACAAAAACTGTTTAAGAAACACAACTAGAAACTTAAGTTGTTCTTACATTTGGGTGCTGAGACATTTTTGCAGGAGTATAATAAAATCATGTGCTTTGCTGACAGTTTTAGACAGGCAGAAATAACGTGTGTATCATTGCCGCATTAAGACAACTGTCTTCTCTTTGATTAAAATTTCAAAATAGGAATCACCACACTGATGCATTTACTTCTTAGTAAACATGCTTTATAAGGGTTTTGTTCTTTGCCAGTTTTTTCCACTATTCATATTCCAGCAAAGACAGAAACTTGCCATTCATATCTGCGCGTTAACATCTTTGTCAACCTTTTCCTACTTTGCACACAAGCACATGTTCAAAACCATTTTCTACTTAACATTTAGACCTGCAGTCACTATATTACGTCTTTTTAAAATAGACATGAGGATACAGGGGAGTTGAGTCTCAATTTCAGTATAACAACCAAAAACCAGAAGGCAGTTGTTTTGAAGTGCCATATTAACATACTCCCAAGTCTCCATTATATTAACATACTCCTAAGTTCCATTATATTAACATATACCAAAGATCATTCTTTCCTAAATGGTACCTAAAGTCTTTTTGAGTAGCATTTTATAATTCTACACACACACACATGCACACACTCACACTATACCTAAAACGCTTGAATAGCATTTCATCATTCTACACAAACACAGACACACTCACTCTCTCTGTATATATATATATCTATATACCAATATATCTATGTAGTCACAATACCTAGAAGTGCAATTTTCTTTTAAAGTGTACTTTAAAACCATGATAAACTCACCTTGAGAGTCCACCTACTTCCAAATAAAAGCAGATAATGAACACATTCCAGGTGACCCAGAGGGCAGTCCACACAGTATACTAGATAGAAATGGGGAGGAGAAAGAGAAGAAAATGTGGAGATGAAAGGCATGTATACCAAATAAATCAATAACAAAAATGTCAATAAGTCTGTCTTCTGGGAAGAAACTGACAGGGAGCGCCTAGAAAGAGTGCTCTCTACGTGGTCCCCAAGCTTTCCAGAAATTAAAAATCCAATAGTTTCTACTGGCTTTCAGTAGACACCAACAAAGTTAGATTTACTTTAAAGTAAGCTTATTGGCTTCCAGGTACAAGTTAAACTAAAAATGTTGATTTGATTTCCGTTTTCTGAGTATTATCTTTTTCTAGGGAATACACCATTATGCAAATCTTCTGTGAGCCTCTATCATCTTTAAGTTATAGTATAAAACTGTCACATTTTAAGGAAAAATTTATTGAAACCCAGGACTGGAAAGACGACCATGTTTGAAAAAACATGCATGGAGTACAAAATTAACAAACTTTCATTTGTTGGACTGTTTTATTAAGAGTAGAATATGTGCCTCTGATTTGATCGTGTAATAAAAATATAATCATATAAAATATTTTAAAGCAGAGAAATTAATAAATAGGATTAAGAATGAGGAAATGAACAACAGATTTTCATATCTTCCAATCATATCCATCCAACAAATTTTAAACCTACTGGTCTTACTGATTAATTTATTATTAAGATATTATGTATTAGGAAATACCTTCTCCCAGAGTATTAGTCGGTCTTAATTAAAGTAGCCCTAGATTGAGAGACTCATCAATGGAGAATCAATAATTGGACTAGGCTCCCTCATCCAGTCATTTCTATGCAGACAAAGAAATTGAGGCACAGAAACTGACATACACACTAGCTAGGATGACTGAGGATAGTACTTACTTCAGAATACAAATACCATATCAAATACAACAGTGCTTGTCTATTCATTTTCTTTATCACAAAAAAATGAATGAATTCTCATGTCATAAGCAGACTTATTAATTGAATTATTTACTCTCGATCAGTGATTACAAACATTGCATATTGTTTTTAAATTAAAATAAATATTGAAATCATTTCCTTAGCTTATTCTATATACTGTGTCAACAATGGAATTATAAAATTTAGATTTATTAATATAACTATGTTACTAACAGAAACTTTATCAGAAGCTTTTAACTATTTATGAAATTCAATTTATATTTTGTATTCTGTCAGTTATGAATTTTAAAAATAATCTCATGTAGTAGTGTAGTCTCATAATTGGTTACATTTAATGTTCCATCATGCATTTGTTTTTCTGAAAGGAGGTTTGCTTTCATTTTTAAGAATAATACAATTACAATAACAGAGTTAAAGCTCCAAATCACTGAAATTTAGTTGGAAAACATGTTAAAAAGTTAAGATTAAAAAATGATAAAGGGGATATCACCACCGACCCCACAGAAATACAAACTACCATCAGACAATACTATAAACACCTCTATGCAAATAAACTAGAAAACCTAGAAGAAATAGATAATTTCCTGGACACTTACACGCTCCCAAGACTAAACTAGGAAGAAGTTGAATCTCTGACTAGACCAATAGCAGGTTCTGAAATTGAGGCAATAATTAATAGCCTACCAACCAAACAAGTCCATGACCAGACGGATCTACAGCCGACTCAATAGAGGCTGAGAGTTGGTACCATTCCTTCTGAAACTATTCCAACAATAGGAAAAGAGGGAATCCTCCTCAACTCATTTTACGAGACCAACATCATCCTAATACCAAACCCTGACAGAGATAACAAAAAAGAGAATTTTTCACCAATGTCCCTGATGAACATCGATGCAAAAATCCTCAATAAAATACTGGCAAACCGAAAACAGCAGCACATCAAACAGCTTATCCAATTACGATCATGGGCTTCATCCCTGGGATGCAAGGCTGGTTCAACATAGGCAAATCAATAAATGTAATCCAGCATATAAACAGAACCAAAGACAAAACCACATGATTATCTCAATAGATGCAGAAGAGGCCTTTGACAAAATTCAACAGCCCTTCATGCTAAAAACTCTCAATAAATTCGGTATTGACAACATATTTCAAAATAATAAGAGCTATTTATGACAAACCCACAGCCAATATCATATTGAATGGGCAAAAACTGGGAGCAATCCCTGGAAAACTGGCACAAGACAGGATGCCCTCTCACCACTCCTATTCAACATAGTGTTGGAAGTTCTGGCTAGGTCAATCAGGCAAGAGAAAGAAATCAAGGGTATTCAGTTAGGAAAAGAAGAGTCAAATTGTCCTCTCTGCAGATGACATGATTGTATATTTAGAAACCCCATCATCTCAGCCTAAAATCTCCTTAAGTTGATAAGCAACTTCAGCAAAGTCTCAGGATACAAAATCAATGTGCAAAAATCACAAGCATTCTTATACACCAGTAATGAGAATCAAATCGTGAATGAACTCCCATTCACAATAGCTTCAAAGAGAATAAAATACCTAGGAATACAACTTACAAGGGATGTGAAGGACCTCTTTAAGGAGAACTAAAAACCACTGCTCAGTGAAATAAGAGGACATGAACAAATGGAAGAACATACCATGCTCATGGACAGGAAGAATCAATATTGTGAAAATGGCCATACTGTCCAAGGTAAGTTTTAGATTCAATGCCATCCTCCATTGCTTACCAATGACTTTCTTCACAGAATTTGAAAAAAAACGGCTTTAAAGTTCATATAGAACAAAAAGAGCCCGCATTGCTAAGACAATCCGTAAGCCAAAAGAACCGCTTGGAGGCATCACGCTACCTGACTTCAAACTATACTCTCCAAGGCTACAGTAACCGCCAAAACAGCACGATACTGGTACCAAAACAGAGATATATAGACCAATGGAACAGAACAGAGCCCTCAGAAATAATACCACACATCTACAGCCATCTGATCTTTGACAAACCTGGGAAAAACAAGAAATGGGGAAAGATTCCCTCATTTAATAAAATGGTGCTGGTAAAATTGGCTAGGCCATAAGTAGAAAGCTGAAACTGAACCTTCTTACCTCATACGAAACTAATTCAAGATGGATTAGAGACTTAAATGTTAGACCTAAAAACCATAAAAACCCTAGAAGAAAACCTAGGTAATACCATTCAGGATATAGTATGGGCAAGGACTTCATGTCTAAACACCAAAAGCAACGGCAACAAAGCCAAAATTGACAAATGGGATCTAATTAAACTAAAGAGCTTCTGCACAGCAAAAGAAACTACTATCAGAGTGAACAGGCAACCTAAAGAATGGGAGAAAATTTTTGCAATCTACTCATCTGACAAAGGGCTAATATCCAGAACCTATAAAGAACTCAATCAAATTTACAAGAAAACAAACAACCTCATCAAAAAGTGGGCAAAGGATATGAACAGATACTTCTCAAAAGAAGACATTCATACAGCCAACAGACACAATAGAAAAAAATGCTCATCATCAGTCATCAGAGAAATGCAAATCAAAACCTCTAATGAGCACCATCTCTACACCAGTTAGAATGGCAATCATTAAAAATCAGAAACAACAGGTGCTGGAGAGGATGTGGAGAAATAGGAACACTTTTTACACTGTTGGTGGGACTGTAAACTAGTTCAACTTACGGGAAATGAACAGTGTGGCGATTCCTCAAGGACCTAGAATTAGAAATACCATTTGACCGCTATCCCATTACTTTGGGATATACCTAAAGGATTATAAGTCATGCTATAAAGACACATGCACACCTATGTTTATTAAGTGCACTATTCACATAATAGTAAAGACTCAGAATCAACCCAAATGTCCAGTGACAGACTGGATTAAGAAAATGTGGCACATATACACCATGGAATATATTATTGCAGCCATAAAGAAGGATGAGTTCGTGTCTTTGTTGGGACATGGATGCTGAAACCATCATTCTCAGCAAACTATCACAGGAAATAGAAAACCAACACTGCATACATGTTCTCTCATAGGTGAGAATCTGAATAATGAGATCACTGGGACACAGGAAGGGGAACGCTACACACTGGGTCCTATTGTGGGGAGTATGAGTAAAGGGAAGTGATAGCAGAGTAGGAGATATACCAAACAAATGATGAGTTAATGGGTGCAGCACACCAACATGGCACATGTATACATATATAATAAACCTGCACGTTGTGCACATGTACCCTAGAACTTAAAGTATAATAATAATAATAAAAAAGAAAAGAAAAGAAAGCACTTGATTTCAGTTGACTCCACTTAGCTGGAAAACAGCTTGATGACTTGTAGGTCTTGGTTGCCTAGTTTAGGTTAATGGCTGCCACACCTGTAGAAACAAGTTCCTGTGCAGTGCCATTGAGTGGTAAGTTGAAGTGAGAATTAGGCAAATGAAAAAAAAAAGGTTAAGATAGGTAAAAATATAGTGAGATTTTTGGTACATGCAGATATTGCTGATGCTGTAATACATTCTGTTCATAAGGTCTTCTAGTACAAGTGGACTTGGTAAAGTTTGAACTTTCAATAAGTTTTGAAGCTCTTGCTAGCAAGATGGCATCTAGTGTCTGATATCTTTCATTTCAAATAAATCAATTATAAGTATATCAAATGAGAGCAACCTCTAAGTCATGAGAAAAAAGCCATTGGAAAAAGGTTAGGGAAAAGAACATAAAATAAAGCAATATTAAAGTAAGGCAATAAACTAAATTAATTACAAAATCATATGATATCACTTAATGATTAGGACTAACTCCTAAACACACTGGTGTATTTTTAGTGAATCAATTCATAGTTATGACAAATGCATAATAAAACACATCTATTTAAAGATCATAGCACAAACTTGGTGATTGGAGTGTATTCAGTATCTCTCACAAGTTGTAATCTGAGGGCTACTTCTGAACTTGCAGAGGCAAAATTACCAGGCTATGTAAACCTCAACTGTCAGTTCCTACGTTTTGGACAATAAAGAACATCCTGGTGCTGCAGTTCCTGCATTGTGGTAAGTGCGT